ACGATGAGGTAGATGGTACTTTTAGGAATAATTATTGAGAGATGTGTTATTAAGGGAGACCTTTTCAAATGAACTATTGATAATCATGAGAATTATATATTGGGTATGGTCCTTTTTAGAATGGTTTCAAGTTATTAATATAAATTCATGAAAACAAGATTTTGATCATAATATGTTTAGTTGATATGTTGATGAAATTAGTTAATGGACGATATGGATAATTTGATGTATTTTTATTGTTATTATATGGTTCGTATGATGAAATGATTTGATGACGAATTAAATATATATTGATTATTGATATGTATGATTATGGCATGATGATGATAATGACAGGGATATTGAGTGATAGTGATACGATTGACGTGTATGAGTATGAAGTGATTAGAATATCGATTGGTATAAATGTGATTGGTAAATATAAATATTACTGAGATATTTTGTGACAATGTTGATATGATGAATGCTTTGATTAATGATGATGTGGATGAGATATTATCATGATCGATTTGTATTTGATATGTTAAATGATTACGATGAGTGAATGAGGTATTGATAAATTGAGTACTTGGTAGATTTGTCAAGTTTGATTTAAGAGAATGAATTATTGATATCATTGAGAAGATGATGATTATATTGAGATCATGCAATGCATCAAAGTATGCATAGATGATGTGAGATATGCATGGACTGGGAATATCAATGGGACGCTGTTGATTTCATGGATCGATTGAGATATGATGGAAGAGAAAAATTGATATTGTTTGATCATGTTAAATCACATAGACATAGAAGGGCCTATGCCTACCCCTATGAGATTGATTGGGCTGCAGTCCTAATGAATGGATTTATGATAATCCTAGATTGGATGAGATTGTGGTTTTTGATATAACCACTAAGATGATGAGCTCGAGCGGGGTGGGCGTATGGTGACCTTAGTGCGCAAATTAATAACAAATGGAGAGTCTGCATTTCATGCATTGCATATGATATATATGATGGAGATGATTTCCATAAAGGAAAATCGTGAAGTTATATTCGATTGGTGATTGATTGAAAGATTTATATGGTTAATGCCAAATTGGTGATTTGATTATGGATGAATGATTGATATGGTTATTTCCAAATTGGTGATTTGATTATGGATGAACGATTGATATGTTTGATGTTCAAATGATGAATTGACTTTGAATGAAGGATTAATATGATAGATTCATGAGTTGAGGTAAGTTTACGATTTTATGTCGATATACGACTTGATTAATGAAAGTCATACCATGAGGAATTGGGTTAAAGATGAATTTGGATTGATGACCTAGAAATAAATCTAGAGATTAATGAGATTTTCGTGTGGCATGATAATTTGTTGATGATGTGTTTTTAAACAACAAGATGTGATGATGTGATCGCATGCTAACAATAGTTTTGCCGTATAGGCCAGGTCCACACACTCAACTTAGTAGCTGACCCATTTTTCTTTCTAGATGTGACAGGTGTGATAAATTTAGGATGACTCTGGCACTGCACAATGATCGATGGAGGATTTTGATTTAAAAGGTTTTTCACCTATTGATTTATTCTAGAACCCTTATTTTACGATTCGGGTTTTGAGCATGCATGATAGTTTACATTGGTCAAGTATGATCATTAACTTGAGTTGAGTATGAATGGAGTAGATGAGATTGATAGTCTGGGTTATGTGAATCCTGATTTTGAGGAAGATTGATTAATGAATTGAGAAAGCGATTTTTAGTAAATTGTTATGATGAGTTGAATTTTAAACATATGATAATGATAAGGATGTGAGTTGAGTCGAGATTTTGAAATCGTAAACCCCGAGTGATTTCCGCTGCGTGGTTGAACCATTGGTTCGACCCATGATTTTAGGGTGGGGTGTTACAGGAACTAGAAAACCAATAGACGAGGCCCAAACCTTGAAACTGTCACAGGACCATCCCTTCCCCATAAACCATTTGCCCATTGCTGGAGAAGTCCCAATATGGGGAGAGCCCCCACGAACTGCGCGATCAGACAGTCCTTCCACCTTTCCTCGCCTCTCTTCTTCACTTCGCGAGGTAGACGAAATCCATCATGAACCTTTCCGGCGGGCGGAAACGCATCCTGTTAGCAGGAGAGATCTCAAAAAGGGGAGCCCAAGATACCGCCTCCCCAATCGGAGCTGTGACCGATGGAGAGGACGCCATGGCGGCGAGAAAACCCTAACCAGAGCCCTGACGAGAGAGAGGGGGAGAGAGAGACTTATTGATTTTAAAAAGAGATATATGATCAAATTTAGGTACATTGTATGCCAAGTTGTGAAACAATTACTATTTCACTTTCAACCTCTCAATAACACAACTATTGGTGAATTCAACGTGCTAATTGTATTTCCAAACTCCAGATCCGAACTTCCTAATGCAATCATCTATGCGTGACAACTAAACTAACAAGGTCTAGGTTTATCTAGAAGAAGTTTGCGGTTTGGAGCAAACCAATATAATCGTCCATCGCCACAGCAATCTACACAATAAATAAAATCCAAATGAAAAAATTTGAAGTCTCATTTCAAATTTCCTGCATCGAGAGTGAAAGTAGGAAGAACATTTTGGTCTTCACAATTACTTTTTTTTATTCATTAAAAAGACACTTACTAGGATTCGAACCATGACCACTTTAAAGAAAAGCAAAGATCATAACCAATCACACTAAGTACATTTGTTGTATCTTTTTAAATTAAAAACATTTAATTGCAGATAGGAAAAAACTCTTCCCCCATTTCAAATTCTCTACTTCAGGAGCGTTTGTAGGAAGGTTAGAATAGGGAGTGTCAATTTTTTTCTTTTTCCTCTGTGGAACGGGTCAACTTACCATACACATGCGGATTTAAACGGGTCCAGGAGTGTCAATTTTTTTCTTTAAGTCCTTTTATTTCTCCATGGTGGTAAAATATATATGAAAAAAGCAAAAAAAATACTCCTTTTTATTGCTAAAAAAAATAACAATAAACTAATACATGGATTCTAATGGGCTAACCACTAATCATAAAATAAAAGAGTTGAATGGGCTTGACCTACACGGGATTTGCCAATCAAGTAAAATAAATGAACATCATGGGTTTGTCATTCTAAAAGAAGCTATTTTCTCTAGCATAATATATATTATGCTATTATTTTATATCTTAGTGGCTAAAATATAATATATTTTAAAGTTATTCAATGGTTCAACCTCGACCAACCCAATTAGTCCAATTTTTATCATTTCAAATATATATTATGTAATTATTTGATATCATAATGATTAAATTATAGAGTATATCTATATTATAGGGAATCGTTTGGTATTTGTTAGTAAAAAACTAAACAAAAAGATCTATTTGGTTATTTTTAACATTAAAACTGTCCTAATTATTTTCAGTTTCCTTTCGAAATTCTATAGTTTTATTCCCGAATCAGTGATGTGCAAATGGAGAATTGCGGTCATCTCTTTTCTTTCATTATTTTTTTATTTTCAAATAGAAAGTTTAAAAGTAAAGAATAATTAGAGTTTGGCATGGGTAGGTCAAACAGGCTGAATTTCAAGTTTTGACCCGTTTTGATCAAGTCTAATTTATAATCACATGGTTTCATGATACCCGATAAAAATCTCAATCCAAACCAGTTTGGCAGGTGAGTCCGTGTTTACCACCATTTTCTAGGGATACAGGAACGGTGGTTCCTATCCCAAATCGTGTTGTTCATTCTTGATTTCTTTAGATATTATCATGGCTTGGCAAAAAACCAGAAAGCACAATGATGACAAGATGAAAGTTTTATAAAGCAAATTAATCGGCCAACGGGCCGAGTAAAAGCTAGCAACGATTGTGAGATGCTCGTTTCCAGTAAACCGGCGGGATAGGCAATTTTTTATTCGATTTTCTGGAATTCGGTTTCTATAAAACTTACTCCACCTCATCATATTACCAGAAACAATATTGTTTCACAAGGTAATAGGTACTTGATTTTGGTTCATAAGGCTGATTTTTGATTCGTTGTATCATTCATGTCTCTTTCTTACTAAAATTCACTATTTTTATCACGTGTTTCTCAAAAGAAATTATACAACAATAAGCTATACACCCATTACATTATCAAATTTTATATCTCAACTTCCTCCGGGGGCCACGCTAGTAATTAATTATTGCGAGCGATCTCTGGCTGAATAAGGCAGATCATCAAATGGCCAACATTACAGAGATAGAAGCCAGATAGATAGGATGGGTAAGTGGGCCTCCTAGGGGTTTTGCGGCCCAAGAGCAGCTCCGAATGGTCCATCATCTTGGCGTCCCAGCACCAAACTATGCACAGGCGCTAACGTAATTGGGCTCTGAAATGGGCTTTAATATATCTTCGATGGTTCCAAGTTAGACTGCATTTCATTTTTGGTCCATGTCCCTTGGCCTGGCCAGTGTCATGGACAAGCAGCGATATAACTCATCGGTACTCTCTAGAAACGAAGGCGGAGCGTGATAACATGACGTCTACCTCGTTGGTTGACTTTTGAGAACATATATAGGCGTCAGCAGAGCAGAGCAGAACAGAGCAGAGAGGATATGGGAAGGAAGAGGACACAGAAAGAGAACACCTTGGCCCTCCTGTCCTGGCTGCGGTTTGTTGTTTACCTCAAACTCAGTAGCTGCCGAATTATTCAATCAGTTTATTGGAGCAATAACCCCAATCACATCCCCCTATATATCAATATTTCATCATTCCATTTCCATGCATCCACTCAAATAACGGTGTGTTTGTGTTACAACAAGTTATTACGTACCTGAGACGATTGAGATGCATTTAATAATATATTACTGTTCGAATTCAGTGTATTTGTGCTTAAATTTGGTGTTTGCAAAACCGTAACCAACCATCAATATATATGATTGGAAAAACTGCCTTGTATAATTGAAATTACACAGGTTTCTCGAGACCCAATCATTACTAACATTTAAAAATGAATTTTTTAAGCTGACGCAAATGTGCCAGTTATTTAGCTTGACATTCATCGAACCAAATAGGTATCGATCGGAGAGGAACATTTGTCTCATGTGTTGAGTTTCTATGTAAAAGTTATCCCTAGTGAATTTTTGTAGTGTTTTCCATTTTAGTACATTACTCTCTCTGATTTTCTTATCATGAAATGAGGTATTAGACTTCGAGAGAACATAAACTCTTATATATAACATGACATCCTCAATAACAAGTACAAAATAATAATAATACAAGGACATAGCAACATTATATATATATATATATATATTATGACATCAATCAAGTACTAGCTAGAGCCAGAGAGCGCCGGCTTCCTTGAGAAGCGGGACGAGGGTGCCGTTAATGTGTGAAGCCATAACCCGGTCCATCGCTCCGACCAGCTTCCCGCCGATGAAGACCACGGGGACGGCGCCGGACGAGGAGCTGGAGATGTTGTTGTTGTTGAGCTGGAGGCGGAGCAAGGCGCGCTCCATCTCCTTGCCACGTGGGTCGTGGTCCAGCTCGATGACCGTGGGCCCCACTCCCAGCCCGCAGAGCAGCCGCTTGACAGCGTGGCACATGCAGCAGCTGGAGACGCTAAATACCACCACCGCACTCTCCGCCGCCAGCCTCGCCACCAGCCTCTCCACCGGCTCCGCGGCCGCCACGTGGTACCTCCGCCCTCCCCCTCCTCCTCCGCCGTAGTACGCCGACTGCCTCCATGACTCGTGGTGGTGGTGGTACTGCTGCTGGTGTGTATACATTATCAAGATGGATGTCGATCGGGGTGGAAAAAGAATGAACTAGTGCGATTTGGCTTTGTTTTTTTTTTTTTTTTTTTTTTTTTTTTTGTAGCTTTGTTTGCAGTAAGGATATGATTTGGTGGTGGTTTGGGGAATGGGCATGCTATTGTTCATATATATAGGAAGAAGGAGATGGGTAGTTTGGGGAATTTGCTTTGCATTGCTTAGTGTGTTGTGTTTATTATGTGTTGGTTTGTTGTCTGTAGTTGTCGAGGGGGCGTGAATGGATGAAAGCAGCTGGGCAGGGGAAAAAGAAAGAAAAGAGGCCAAAAAGAAGTTGTCAGTACCGTAAGAGAAGGCGGCTATGGATGTTTCTTTGTTCGTCTGTCTTTACTCTTGTGTCTAGTGTACATTTTGAGTACGTATATACTAATTAAGCTAGCTACTAGCGTAGCAAGGATTTCGTTTAAGGTGGGTCCACCTCGAAAAAAATAAATATAATAAAATAGTTTTTTTTATATAATCTTAGTTGAAAATTTTTGATAAATTAAAATGCACTAGCAGTCAAAAAGATCAAGAATATCACTCTGCATATATACAACAATCATTGATTTAGTTAGTCATAGTGTTTCAAATGGTGTTCTTTGTTAAGAACCGTTAGTATCAATACCTCGAGTTGTTGATAGAGGTTTAATAATAAATCTTATACCAACCAATAATTCATGATTTACCAAGTCGTTCGCTTTCGAATGATGTTCTTAAAAAAAAATTAGTATAAAAAATCGAGTTGTTGGAAGATTTCAATAATATATTATACCATTTACTACCATGCTCCCTTATAAGAAAGTCAACTTATACGAAGTTGATGTTTGCACAAATTTGTATACCGTATGCTTAAGAAATGAGGTCGCCAAGATTCAAACACAAAACTTTTCGACCAACTATTCTCAATTAAACGCTACCTATTTTTCGATATCAATTAACTATCGTATCTAATTTAATCATTTCCCCCCGAACCAGAGTGGGTCCCGGACCCACCTGTTACCCTCTCCCTCCGCCACTGGTAACTTGGTATGTAATGTTTATAGTAATCATTCATTGAGATGGGATTTATAAATATATTGGTGCTAGATCGTCCTACGATGATCAGATAAATTAACATCTATATATATATATATATATATATATATATATATATATGGCAAAGGCTAGCGTACGACGGTCGTACGCTGTACGCCTGTGTTCACACTTGTAAATTAATTACTAATTATTTTTAATGTCATTAGGAGTAGATTAATTATTAATGATAATTAAAATTATAACTACGTCCATTAAATAATTGATGTGTAAGGTTTAGTACCCATAAATTTTTATCATTCATTTCTCATATAACTTTTGATTATATAAATTTGAATACTTTCTTTTTCCAAATCACACATTTTGAATACCCAAAGTTTGTGTTTAGAATTAGAAATATATTCCCTATCTTGTCCAATTTTTTTTATGGGATTTCATTTAAATTTTATTCTTCTTCCCCAAGCGGCCAGACCTATTTGACAAACATATATTCAATCTTCAGTCTACGCCGGTGTTGAGCCGACGAATGATCAACCTCGGCGAATCCCAGCTTGCGAGCATTTTTCCTGTGGAGTGGCCAAGATGATCGATGATGAAAACAGATCTCATCTCTCAACGGTGGTGGTTAGACGACGAAGAATAGATGTCGGCGAATCCCAGCTTGCGAGTTGTCTTCCCCTGTGGACTCGCCACGATGATCGATCATGAACACAGGTCCCTGCTTCTTCCTCCCAGCCGACAAGGGGGAACGAATGTGTCTGTCTTTTATTTTAGTTTAAGGTTTGATGCTTTGTTCTTAGTTTGGAAATCAAAATAAGATGAGAAAGGAGATAGTTGATTTTAGGGGAGCGCTAGCAGGAGCTTCCGGCAGCAACCCTAGCTCCGGCCGACAAGCAGTAGAGAGCTTCGGATTCAGGCTGCTGCAAGGGAAATCGACACTCCACTTCGTATTCAATCCAAGGGCGTTGACTGGTAACACGAATCCAGCGGTGCCGGGACCCCACGACGATGTAATCGAGCGCTTTTACCTGACCCGCTGGTTCTCTTTCCCAGAGCAATTATTGCCCTACATATATCCGAATTGAAACTCTCCTGATTGCTGCCGGATTGTTCAACGTACCCCGTGAAGAATGAATTTATCGATACAATTGAATTTATCGATGCAATTGTAGGGAAGAAATTTTATGCCAATGTGTTCAATTCCTGTGTGTTGGGAAAGAATAATCAGGTTTGTGGGAAAAGGGTCGAAGACAGTGTCGGAAAGTGCAATAACTAGAGGACTCCGTTTCTCGATGGCAACATCCTCCAAGGCTTCATCTTTGAACAGAGAACCAAGAATACCGCTAGCGGAGGTATGTCTTCTCCGAATTGGAACTAGGAAGCATGCTTGGAAATCTGATTCTCACACTATATGAAAACCTGGACATAGTAATCCTAATGTCTCGCTCTCATGGTCGTACCCAATGCTGATTTCTTTAGGACGCCCAATATCATGTCAGTCATCTATCTCTTTTTCACAACATTCCCCCAAAAGTTAGTTCTTCTGAAGAACCAAGTAAAATGAACGCTCTTTTGAACTAACAGAACACCTCCTCCCATTGGTTTGACTACTGCCGACAAATTGTCACTCTATTCCGAACAAAGCTTCACATCTTGGGTAACTACAGGTGAGTCAGTGCCAAGAGTCTCACTAGGAAACCAAATTGCTCCTAAAACAAAATCTCACTGAAAGCAACCTCACACAGAGTAACAAAATTCTAACAGCAACGATACTATGTTATTAGCTTATTATCGGAGGAATCCAAGCCAAATCGTTTTGATAGAAGTTCATCAGCCATACCTGAACCAAGTACTTGACAGCCAGGCTAGCAACAGAATCCCCACTGACAATTGTATGCAGTGATCTTCCCGATCCCGTTGTCCTTCACAAAAAATGGAACCAAATTTTACTAATGAGATCGTCACCGCTCCTGCTTTGCCGTCCTATAAAACCTAGTATCCCGCCCCACCGTTTCCTTGAACTTCACCACTCCCTATTCCAATTCGCCACTCGTCAGAGTTCTAACCGCCTCCGCACCCCATCCTCTCCCGCTTCTCCGGACATATCCCTTCCTCCATGTCTAACATCGGCTAGCTCTACGTCCAAGGCTGCATCTCGCCGGAGGTTGGTCAGATCTCACGACGATGACGGCTGGATTATGATGTCAGTTATTAACGATCGAAAAGGAGAAAGTGTCAATTGGAAATTATCTTTCGTCCAGGTAGGGTATTAAAGATCAAGACCAAATGCAGTCTATCCTCTGATGACAAAGAGGATAGGAAATTGTCGATGACGAAGACAAGGAGGATGGGATATGAAAAGAGGTAGGAGATGAATAGTCTTTGGGAAAATGAAGTCTTCCCTAGAAAAGAGAATGAACACTAATTGTTGTCGATTGAATGTTTTACTGTTGTATTCTAAAATTAAATGAAATTAACTTCCACCGACTATTACAAATGATTATTGGATTACTGTTTACTAAAAAGAAATTTCGGTGTTTAATTCGTCATTAGCAAAATTGAGGTACTATTATTTTTAAGTTGGATATCTATACGATTGATTTAAGCATAATGATGGTAAAAAATTATTTGGGACTAAAGCGGATAGAAAATTAAATTAATAGGCGTAGTTATAATTTTTTTATACCAATTATCGATTTAGTTATAATTAATTAAAAATATTAACAAGTGTGAACACAGGCGCACAGCGTACGACCGTCGTACGCTAGCCTAAACCATATATATATATATATATCTAAATTCATAATACATAGCATACATGGTAATGATTAATGTACGTATATCCTACTTGAAATTATTTGGCCATTGGATGTACTTCGTAGTATTTCGACGAATTAGAATCACCGTTCTACACTTCAAGCTTGGACATTTACAGAGTCAATGTTTGATATTTATCAAATTAGACGTTAGAGTATAGTGTTAATATATACTCAAACTCGATTTAATTCAAGAGGGCTCAATCAAGGAAGGCAGACCTCGGAAGCAATACAAGATAAGGTTCGTCAGACTTTATCATTCCTCCGGGTAAGAGGGAATTGCGAGACCTACGCCCTTCTTCCATGAGAATAGGTATACTAGAAATCGTATGAATCGATAAGACCGGATCTCCGATCTCTTTCACGCAAAGGAGAGAAAATGCCACTTTTGAATGGTTCTTTTAGGCTCTCGAGAAGCTGATGAGGAAGAAGTCCCATGTTCCTGCTGATAAGGGTAAGCCTAGCACTGTGGGGATGAGTGAATTATCTAAGCCAATGAATGAGACCTTTCACGCCTTTCATTAACTCTGTAAGTACTCTAGAAGAACTTTCTTGTGAATATGGTACATCGACCTTGGTATTCAAAACTTTTCTTGCCACCCTTCCTCCTGCTAACCCGGCCATTTCCGATCCTGTCTTTCCCACCCCATGCAATTCAATGGAGGACTTCTTACGATATTTATAGTTTCATGAAAAGAAAGCTTTTTCTATCAATGCAGGGCTCAGACCTTTTTACTGTAGTTGATTGGGTTTAGCTTATAATCCAATAACGAATCATTGGCATTGGTTTAACTGAATAACTAAATAAAATAGATAGACCCTTCTCTTTGTCTCAGGTCGATGGATCTTCTCAATTGGAAAATCCTTATATGGATAATAGACATTCCAGTTGACCGATAGAAATGTTTTAGTAGTCTTGTATATATATAGACTTTAAAACACATAGCAAAGTAGTACTCGTTAGAATATGACTTGAATTTGATTTGGGTTTGTTTTTGTGTTTGGTTTTGTTTTGACCTTTTCCTTGTAGGTTTGGAAAAGGTGTTTGGTTTTCTGTTTGGGATTAGGAGAAGAGTTCTATAAATACTCTTCACCACCCTAATCTGTTGTAAGGTCAGTCAGGTTAGTTTGTTTGGTTTGTTCGTTCAGGAATTTGGTTTGTATCGTTTGCATGCTTCTGTTCTGCTGCTTGTCGAAATCGGGCTGTTCAATTAGTACGGTATTGTCTGCTTTGGGCCAAGCTCGCACGGTTTTA